ACCTATTCACCTCCCACTGACCTTAACATTCTGTAGTTTTTCACAGAAACAGTGTGGCTATAAAGGGAAGGAGTGAAAGAATAAAGCTTACCCAAGAAAGCAAGTAATGATGAAAACATTCATTTAGAAAATATACCAAGTCTTACATTGTGAATGCATATGTTAGACCTGATCTTTTGTAAATTCACAGCAAAGCTGAAAATCCTCTGCTAGCCAATTTATCCTCTGTGGCTTTACAAACATCTCTGCCACAGAGTTTTGACTAGACTCCAACACTTCCCATCAAGTACAAGTTCAACTTTCAAGTGCCTTCGTTAGAACAGGTCTCCCGTTGGACAGTGTAAGATATGACAAAATAATAATAATTTATAAATTATCAAGGGTTCATGAGGGAGGGGGAAGGGGGGAATGAGGAACTGATATTAAGGGCTCAAGTAGAAAGCAAATGTTTTGAGAGTGATGATGGCAACAAATGTACAAACGTGCTTGACACAATGGATGTATGTATGGATTGTGATAAGAATTGTACTAGCCCCCAATAAAATGATTTTTTAAAAAAGAACAGGTCTCCATGGACTGTGTGTATATATATGGTTTGCCACTGGTCCCATCCTTCCCTTAGCACTCCAGTCCCTAAACTTTTTCCTACTCTGCAGTCAAAACAGACACCCCTTCTGCCCACCAAATGCAAGCCTGACTCTCTTCCTGCCTGCAGCCTTTCTTGTGGGTCTATGTAGGCAGTTCAGATATCAGAGCCTGCCTCTGCTGCCTTGGCTCTCTCCAGATAGCACCCTATTCATGCTGTATCTCCACTTTCAGTGCCTTCCCACCCATCATTTCCTTACTGTGCCTTTCCTTTCCTTATTGTAGGCATCTGTCAGTCATTCCACTAAAATTTAATTCCTCTTGGCCCCGTCTCCTGTACTCCTCACCACCATCAGAGGTTTAACAATTTAAAATCAGCGATTATGTATTATGAATCCTCCAAGTCGTATGCCTCTGTGCTTGTGGGGTCCCCTTTACTGGAATTTTCCTGTCACTGCCTTTTTTAGATTTGCTAGCTAATGAAACTACTATTTATTTTTTTAAAGCCTCCTTTGTCTATCTCAGACTTGTCCTTCAAGACACATTGCAGGTGGAAATTTCTTTGGAATTCATTAAATTGACTTCAAAGTTCCCTTCTCCTCTGGATGTTTTTGGAGCCAGCTGGATATTCTATCATCATGTATTATGCTGAAGTTGCTTTTTGATGTCATCTATTTACTATGTTTCCTTAACTTCACTTACAACCTATGTACTTTTTCTTTCAGCATAAACCTCCGACCTGGAAATAGCTGACACTTAATACAAAAATGGAATAAAGATAATACAATTTCATACAAATTGTTTCAAGCTCCCTTATATATGTGTTTGAGCTGAAGCTGAAGCTGAAGCAGTCTGCTTTCTCTAACCTTTAGACATCTCACTTCTCTGAGTCTCTCTGGCCTCTTGGTTTCCCAGTTCATTAACCTGTACCCCACAGCAGCTTCTTTCAACTACATCAGCTAGGACCCTATGGACATTGTTTTAAGGTGATGTGGATCTAATTCTACTTTAAAACTTTTCCCCTTTGCATTTTCCTGCCTCCCCGATCTTATAGGCAGGAAATCAAACTATGTATACCTGTTGGAGAAAGTTGGGAATCACAAATCAGACAGAAACTTCTAACAGACTCCCTCTGTAGTCTTGCCATTTCTTCAACAATGCCATGGTTGCTTCCTCCAGACAGCTGCTTAACGCTGTCCAAATATTCTCAAGTCCCAACTGTCTCCTCCAGTTGTGTCTACTCCCAGACAGCATAGAGTCCTTTCCTTCTTCTACTCAGATTTCCCATGAAAGGCTAGCGTTTTTTGTATTCCCAGGACTGTGTCCCTCAGTCAATGGTATCATGGCTCCTCTTTCCTGA